GTGTAAATTATGAAGCTAGTATATTTAATTAGAGAAATAATCTGTGACTTTATGAATGTAAATTATAACAGGGAATCAATAAATATCAGAATGGACCTGGACTCAATTTTAGCATTAAAATACAGTTTAACTGATTTAAAAAAAACCTCAATAATAGAGAATGTCATCACTAAGTGATTGCTAACACTAGCTGATAGATAACTAGCAGCAAGATAACTTTTCATAAGAAAAATAACAGTGCTGTCCTATTTTTTGACTTATTTTTGGTCCTTTGTAAAGAATAAAGTTTTTCCAAGAGCTGGACGTTATCAGACCATTACCTACCTGCTCCAGTAGCTCTGAAGCTCTGACCACCACGTTGTTTTACAGCAGGCAGCTATAGCACACCTCCCACCGCAAGCGCGCGCACATGTGTGTCTGCGCGTGAGTGTGTGTACTGTATGTGTGTGTGTGCATGCGTGTGTCTGCGCGCGCGAGTGTGTGTCCTCGCACTTCAGAGAAAAGGAAGGGAGGGGGTGAAGGGGAAGCTGTAGCAGGCTCCCAGCAGCTTCTGCAGTGTGACATGAGAGAGATGAGAAGCAGGAGCGGGGAGGGGGCGGAAGGGATCGGGCRCAGCGTACTCTTTTTTTTTTTCCGGAAAAAGGTAGACACAGCAGTTGTTGCTGCCTACTGTTGGGAAATGTAGATGCACGCAAAGGAAAAAAAAAAAGTGCAAATATTGGTGGGGACTGTCCCTGTCCGGCCAAAGTTGGTAGGGACATGTCCACACCAGTCCTTCAGAAAGTTACACCCTTGGTAAAGACCCTAAGCAAATGTGCAATTATTTCCCAAGGCCATGGGAAGTAGGGGTGTGGAGGGAGTTGCAGTATCCCCAGTGGCTGCYAGAGGACGTGCATGTCCAAACACATACAGGGAAGCAGTGGTTCTTAAAATTTATGTGCAGTTCCCATGTTTGGAAGAAGAAGAATCTTCGAATTCTAAAAAAATTATATCTTACCCTGTACATAATGTGACAAAATGATATGTCTACAAAGACGTTTTTTTATCAATTATACATAAAGTATAATGTATATTTGAGGATTTCAAATGTTTTATCTCACTTAAACTCTAAGCTTGCCTCTTCAGCCATCAGTCTCATTTTAGTTTTCCTGCTCGCATTGCAAGAAATTTTGTTTTAAATCAATGAGTTTGTCTGTTCATAACTGAAGGTTAGATAACTACCAGCTTATATTTTATATACGATAAATGCAATGGCTTGAGATAAGCCTGGAGATAATCTTCATCTCGTTTAAATTATTTCACTTTAGCAAGCAAGAATAAACAAACACCAATGGACTGACTTTATTCTTTATGGGAAAGAAAGCAGGTCTGCCTCGTTTTTCAGCTAATTTACTGTAAAACATTATATATATA